TAAATAAATAAATAAAACACACCTTCTCTCAACGGTAGCTCACATCCGACTGACTGCACTGAACAAGTTGAAACTTGTCACACTCTGTTACTAAGGTTTAACGTGCCACTTCCCCTATTGAAGATCCCTGCCTTTCCGCTGGATGGCACTTGGCAGCAGCACTCACAGTATGTATGTTGTGATCACAACAGAAAGGCTTCATGTCACACATCGCTTCCGGTACGGCGATTTCTGTCAAATACTATAAAAATATTACGGTGTGTCCTCATCTACCTTATTCACCAGATCTGGCACCATGCGACCTCCCCAAACTCAAAATGACCACGAAAGATAAATGTTTTGAATCAATTCAGGACATTGAGGCAACCACAACAGTGCAACTAAAGACACTCATGAAAGAGGACTTCCAGAACTGCTTCAGAAAGCAGCAAGAACAATGGTATAGTGTGTTTGAAGCAAGGGGGAGTATTTTGAGGAGGACTAATGGCAATGTATCTTTTACTGTAATAAGTTGTTTTTATTTAAACATTCACTATATGGGGGCCGGCTGAGTAGCTCAGTTGGTTAAGAGCTTGCTCAAGAGTGTGAGCTCTGAGCAACAGGGTCGCCAGTTTGATTCCCACATGGGCCAGTGATGCTGTGTCCGAGCTGAGCTGCCGCTGAGCTGCCAACAGGTGGCAAGATGACTCAACTGGTGAGAGCATGTGCTCCTAACCACAAGGTTGCCTGTTCGAGATGGTAGGCTACACCCACCCGCAACTAAGACTGAACTCAGCACCTTGAGCTGAGCGGCGCGACTGGGCTTGGAGCTGAGCTTGCTGCACTCTCCACAACTAAGATTGAAGGACGACAACTTGGCTGTTCCCCTCCCCCAATTGCCCAATAAAATCTAAAAAATAAACAAATAAACATTCATTGTAATTTTTGATCATACCTCGTAGGCATGGCCCTGCCTGCCTGCCTGCCTCCCTTTTCTGCCTATTACCCACCCTGCTGACCATCTTTTCTCCTACTATGCCCTCAAACAGGATCACACTGAGGATGAAAAGAGCTGGGAAACATTTAATAAGTAGGCCTTTTAGAATTAGAAAAGGAGTGAGAAAGTGATGAATCGAGAATAATTACGCATTTCTCAGTCTGGATGACAGCAAGAACTGTGGGACTATTTATAGAGCTCGGGAGGTTGAGAGAAGAACTCATTAGTGGGGGAGGGAGAACTCCTGTTTCAAGTAGTTCACATGAAAAGTAAGATTCTTAGAAGGAAAAGCAGAAGCCACAGGTGGTGATACGATCAGAATAATACTAAGCAATGCTGACATGCAGGGACCAGGAAGACAAGAAGGTGGTGAGAGAGGCAGAAAGACAAGAGCAGAAAGGACACACAGCAAATCCCAATGGCGAGGCCCAAGGCTGAGGATGAAACCACTGGCCACGCCCAAGACAGGACAACTGCAGGTGAACAGGGGAGGCCAGAGTCAGAGACTAAGGAGAGGGTGTAAGGCACCAGGAAGTAGAAGAGTAAAACCAAGGAGAGGGACTAGAGGTCTGTAAGAGGTTCTTGGGGGTCAGGGAAAAAGAGTACTCCGGTAGACAGCTGGGAGAAATCAGGTAAGGAGAAGGGGTTAAAAAGGCCCGAGATCAGGCCGGCCGAGTGGCTCAGTTGGTTAAGACCTCTCTCAAGAGTGCNAAAAAAAAAAAATAGTACTTTTCTACTTACCTCAGCTTCTTTTTCCAGCAAGATCTGGTCTTTATTCATGTCCTCATTTTCCACTTTTCTAAGCATTGAAAGAAATTACAATGTTGCAACAAATGTAAGTTGGTTATTTCTGATCACAGAGACCTCAAGTAAAATACCATTTTACATTTTGGAGAAATGTATCTATCGTTTTTCTGATTAATGACGTGAATAAATAAGAATGATGAAAAAAGAGCAACATAAAATGAAAAATTCAAGAGATACTCTAAGCTGGAGTGATGACACTTCCATCTTTACCTACTCAAAAAACAGTAGCCATTATCTGTAGAAAAGTCTTTTTCAGTTCCTTAATGCACACACTACCACCATTGCACGGAAAAAAATGAACAGTGCCTGATGTCTTATAGCAGACCAGCAGAGAGGTCGTCTGAGTGCGTGAGGACACAGCTCTGCACATGCCGATAGCCTGGGACCACGATCTGGTGGCCTTTTCCGCAGAGTGTGACCTCCTTGCTGCCTCTAAAACCTTTCTGACTGTCTGGCACCCACATTAACAACACAATAAAAGAGACTTTAATGTGTACCTTGTACATATACACAAATTCACCAAATTTAAAAAACGTGAATACTTTAGTGAACTACAATACAGAAAATTCTTTTTATAAATGATGTGTATCACTTATTTGTTAAATTCTAAGCAGAGATGTGGTTTTATCAGGCACAAATCAGGTCTCAAATAAAGATCTATTAGGATGGTAAAAATGAGATGAGTGAGGGCGGCCACTCCCCCTTAACGGGCGTTGCAAGTTTCCTAATGTTCTCCTTCACAGACTGAGTGAGGCTTTTGAGAATGCACCCCACACACGTCTCTGGCCTTCCCGTCTGAAGCTGTGCTTTATGTGTAGATGATTGAAGCTACCTTTAGCAGTCTAAGAGGAAAGCATGATTCGATTAAATCAGCAATGAGGATCGTATACCAAGAGACCAAATCATGCTGCTTAGAGGTCAACAAGGCCACACTGCACACATACAGGAAGGGGACAGCAAGCAGAATTTGGGGTGACAGAGTATGGACACAAGAGGACAGTGTGATAATGACCTGCCGCCTCTTTTGAGCCTCTCAGAACGGAAGTTCTCGTAGTGAAGGTCCTGGGTCACCTCCTGTAGGTCCTGCATGTGAGTGCTGCAAGAGAAAAAAACACACTGCAGGGGGCTCCACACATGTGCACGTGTGTGCCATTTGCATGGAAAAAAGAGCCAAGCAAGGACATGGAAGGAACACCTGTAACAAAACCCCACTTATTACTATAAATTGTATGCAAAGTTCCTGGAATTTCGGGATAAGAGGGTGAGGCTATGGAAATGTCTACAGAGGTGACGCTCTCCTTACCACCCACTCAACGGTACACACCCACAGGGCCAGGTTAAGTCCCTTCCACAGAGTCTCTGCATGACACCATCACCACTGGACAGACGTAGATGCACAGAGAGGTTTGGGGAGGTTTTTTTAGGTAAGCAATGTCTGATTGTGAAAACATGCAACTCAAATATTCAGGATTTCTTTAAGCTCAAAATTTATATCAGAAGTTAATTAATTTAAGCTACGAAAAGCCTGGGGTTCACTTTAAATGGCTTACGTGGTGACTGAATTAAGTTTACTAGCTCCTTGAGTGGTAATTTTAATGGTATTTTAGTGATTTTAATTCACTAAAAATTGCTAATGCAAGTAAGACACGTGGCAGAAAGAGCGATTTTCAGTTACTCCAAGGTTACCTAGGTCAGCCGTTCTCTGAGCTGGTTCGATTAAAGGGTAACTTTAGCAATATTTTTTTTCAGCCTCTCCATTCAAGGGCAACAGCATTGCACGTATGTAACTAAAAGTGTGCAATCTGTTTTCAGAGGAAAACAGCCTGTCTCTGTAGTCACGTCTGCTCTAGTTGCTAAGACTCGATCAAAGGATGTCAAGGCTGGCTGGGGCCATCTTGACGAGGGCCCGAGGCCAACAGCAGTGCTAAGGCACTCCAGCTGGCACCGAGACTGCTGGCTGACCCTGCTGCAGATCCAGCCGTCCTCGCTGGCAGGGCCTTCCTGTGCTGGGGGCGGCCATGCTACAGTTTAACTCTAGCCTACGTTTAGGTCGGAGACGCCAGTCAGGAAAGAGAGGTGTGAAGCCACAATGCAGCACAGTTCCAGAGCCTAGGTGAGGGCCTCTGCCAGGTGGAGCTGGGAGCTGCGGGAGGCCCTGGGCACCCCACACTGTGGGACGCTGCTCTTGTGCCGATGAGCCGCACGAGCATCTTACATGAGCATGGTCCTCAGCTTCAGAAAGTCGTTGTGCTCCGGGTTCTCTACCTCCACGACACCCCACGGGTACAGGCGGCCTCTGACCTTCTTGCCCTTGGCTTCAATCAGCTGGTTGGATCCCACCACAGAGAACGGGATACTGGCCTAGAAAGACACACGGGGTAGACGGGCCCACAGGGAAGGAACCGCGAGGGGCCCTGCAGACACAGGACATCACACGGATGGAGCACTTGCCTGCTTGCTACAAGGTGGACTTGGAAAGCTAGCTGTACACAGAATTTTACTTTGAAGCAGCAGTTATCGTCCACACAGGACAAACTGCATGAGAGCAATCAGGCCCGTAGTAAGATTTCTAAGCCCATGGGGACAGCTAGGTCAGAGCACACCGAAAGCAGACACACTGGTGTAGGCAAATCCACCCAGACAATCCCTCAGTCAAGCCTACCAGGATCTGGTCTTTTGCCAAGTCCTTCCGTCTTAAACACAGGTGACAGGTAACGGGACTGAATTACCCTGAGCACCCAGGCGCAGATTTCTTACCTTGAGAAGCCTAGTCTGCTCTTTAAAATCTTCATCTTCATCTGACTCTGCATCAGGTAAGTGATAGATTTTGATGTTATGCTCTTCAATTTCATCCAGAATCTGAAACAATGACAAAACCAGGAACCATTTTAACGAACCGCACAAATCTTCATCAAGTATAACTTATCATATCGGACAATACCTCAGAACCACTAATTTCAATGAAGAATCCAATGGATTACGACAATCGCTTTCAAATGCTTTTAAGAGCTGCCGCAAAGGTACCTATGCTTGCATTCAGGGGGACCCTCTGTCCAGAATAATGCACCACCACCATCAGTGTACAAAGCCCCAGCGCAGTGGCTGCAACGAGATCACGCCACAGCCAGCTTAAGAACGGCAAGTGCCACGGGAGAGAGAGACATGCAGCCAGATGCCACAGGCACAGAGGAGCCCTGCAAGTCACCTCAGGCGTCCCTGGACAACAGGCAGGAGTCTTACAGGCTGAGGAGGGGCCGCACAAGAACAAGACATCCAGGCTGGCAGGGACGCAGGACACGTAGCTGGGTAAGACCACGGGACAACTCTCAAGTGCCAGGCGAGGGGCCTGGGGATCCAATTGTCACTCAACAGGCAGAAAGTGGCCAGCACTGGAATCCCACACTCTGCACTGCCAACTGTGCAGACTGGCCGAGAGAGGCTGGAGCTGAGGTAAACAGTCATTCATTGGTCAATGACCCACAAGCCCAGCCCCAGGGCCCCCACATGCTGGGCACACCATCAGGTACAAGGCAGGTTGGAGCTCCGCTGACTGACACTCTAGGACTGGGCCTTGTGGACAGAAAAACAGGGATTCCACACAAGTCACCCCAGGGTGATCTGATTGTAAACCCCCAGCTGGGCAGGGCACAGCGGTCATCCCGCCCAGGCCTATGACTTCTTTACTGAAAGGCTCATCTTGGCCTTAAGCAGCCCTGCCCATTGTTCCTGTGTATCTAGGTTCACACGCCTCCGAAACGCCTCCTTCAGACCCTCCTTGTAAAGCGAGAGCACATAACCTTAACTCTCCTGTGCTCCATCCCACCCTCATGTCCTCTTCCTTCCGTTCCCTCCTTAACCTCTAACGCATAAAAGAAGCTGCAAAGCTGCTATTCTCAGGGGCATTTGAGATCTTGGTCCCAGCATATGCCATCAGTTTGGCTCAAATAAACTATAAAAATTCTCTCCAGGACTGGACGTTTCCTATGTCAAGTCCTCAGGGAAGAGAAAACAGAAACCAAGTCAGAAGGAAACACCGCTACCTCACACCCTGCTCCCGGATTTATTCTTCTTAGTGTAATCTTTGTGGCCTCCAATGATCAAAATCTTACTTAACATGCTGTCTGCACTGACTCAGGAACCCCCCGTACCCCTCATCTTTACTTTGCAGCCTAACCTTCAGTCCTCTCCCAGCTTCTCATTCCTAAACGAAATATAGGAGGCAGAAACTGAGCAGTATGAGGTGTGATCAAATACCACAGTGAATGTTTAAACAACAACAACAAAAAATGCATTACAGTAAAAGACACATTGCCATTAATCCCGCCCCAAATACACCCCCCTTGCTATGAACACACTTATCCCATCATTCTTGCCACTTTCTGAAGCAGTTCTGGAAGTCCTCTTTCGTGAGTATCTTTAGTTGCGCTGTTCTGGCTGCCTCGATGTTCTGAATCATTGTGACTTTGAGGAAAAGCCCGAAGTCGCATGGTGCCAGATCCGGTGAATAAGGTGGATGAGGACACACCGTAGTGTTTTTATTTCACAGAAGTTACCGTACCAGAAGCAATGTGTGACATGGAGCGTTGTCATAATGGAGGATGATTTCAGCACATTTTAAAACACACCTTCTCGAGCTGGCCGAGTGGTACATTGGTTAGGAGTTGGCTTGGGATGCCAGCTCTGAGCAGCAGGGCCCCGGTTAGGATCCCACATGAGGGCCAGTGACACTGCCCTCTACAGCTAAAATGGTGAACAGCTCGACCTGGAGCTGCGCTGCCGTGAGTCACTGGTGATGATGGCGTAGGCTGCAGCCCAATGCAGTGGGCTGCCATAAGCTACTGAGAGTGGCCGGAAGCCAGCACGAGCGGCTGGTAGCCGGTGTGAGCTGCCAAGAGCCGCCATGAGTGGCCGTCCAGAGGCCGGCGACTGATCTGCCTCACATGGGAAGAGTGCAATGATAATACCAACGTGGGCCAGTGAAGCGACGTC